TGTGTGTGTGTGTGTGTGTGTGTGTGTATGAGAGAGTGAGTGTAGTGTACCAGAATCCTGACCTATAGCCCGCTGTGTAAAGCTGCAGGGTTTATGCATCACTCCTCAGCAGGGGTCTTACAGCCTGGACCACTTACTTTAACATTAGCATTTCTACCAGCCATTTCCTCTCTGTAAACTCCAGAAACACTGCACATTATACGAGCTCTTGCCTCTATTCTGACCCTGTACGTCAAGGGCTGTTGTGACATCGTTGCTAATATATGACAACTGCACTCAACATACACATTATAAATATTTATGTTCACTTTGCAAAAACAATAAGAGCAACATAAATGGTTGAAATACATCAAGGAATTTGCTTGTTACAAATGGGCATGTGGCAACAATTACAGAATCGCCAGACCTAAAATCTGTAAACTCCTGAATTCATTGACTAATCTTTCAAAGACCGAGAGCTTATAGAAAAGGCTGGTTTTTAAGCAATTTAGCTATAAAAGCCTCCCTCAAACTGGGGTAAAGCACACATCCCAGCAAAAACTTTGTGGCACTTCCAACACTCACAAGCAATGAGCTTGTAGATAAATGACACATTAAACAGAGGTGTGTTTGTAATTAGCTCCTTCCCAATCACTGTCCCATGAGCCCAGCACGAAGCCCAGTTAAGTACACAAAAGTGACAGTGATTTGACACTTCGTCAGACTTAATATATGGCAACGAACCAGCCATTTTGTCTACTACAGCATGCAAATTGATAACCACAATCCTGAGAAATGATGCATGAGATGTTACCAAGTAGTTATATGGTGCTGTTCACGAGATATGGGCTGGGCTTGGTTTTCAGAGCAGGGCTAGAGCTCATTGTAGCTGTCAGTCCCAACAGGATAACGGTCCTAATGCTCAGCATCCCCATCACACAACCTGCACCTCAAGCATCCTTAAACCACACAATGCCATGATGTATCCCATTAGTTTCAATTTAACTTCGGCTTTCATCTTTTTCTTCAATCTCCTTTTGAGTTTATTAAAAGGTCTATCTCTTTCTCAGTGCATGCAGTTTCAATTTAGTGTTCTTTACAAACAAAAACTGCATTGCCAAAACAGCGCCAAATAAACGAAATAAAATAACAAAATTTAATAAATGAGAAAAAAAGGCATTAACTGAATAAAATATGATTACATATCTATGAAAATAAATATAATGAGCACTTGGTAAATTAAAGAGGAATAGCCTACATTGCGAAGGTAACTGGGAGTTGAAGAAAGGATGAAAAATAAGACAAGTGCGCCGATAATTGTAATATGAGCCAGCGTTTCTACAGAGATCACGGTCTCTCCATCTCTCCTCTCATCGTACCTGCTTTGAAGAAGGCATCCGTGTCTGAATCATTGGGTCCGTCCTCCGCCGCTTCAGCAGAATTCATCTTTCCTCTTAGATCTCACAGTTCAAGATAACGGGATAATATATCCAGATTCAGCGCTCCATCATCTCTGTATTTCTGTGTTGTGATGGCACAGCCCTCGATCAGAGCGACAAAGCGCAGCTCTGCATTGCCTTCTATTGTCTCCAGATGCGCCTCTCCTCCTCAGATCGCTCTCATCGCTTCTTATGAGTCGGTTCTTTTGAACCGGTTCACTGATCGATTCTTTCGCGAATCGGTCTATCCGGGCGGAGCGGTTCTCAAAAGCACTGAACTGTTGTTTCGGACTTGTCCGACTCTAACCGAGTCAAGAGCCGCTGAACA